GGGGGGGGGGGGGGGTTCACACTTTGTATTCGCCCGTGACAACCGTGAGCCTCTCGTCTGCAGTCGCTTGATACTTCAAATTGTAATAACTCCCTATCATCATCCCAATCTCTTCACAGCTGTGGGTCAGTCACATGCCCTCCTAGTCCGGCTACTAACCACAAACCAGTCGCGTGCCCTCTCCTAGTCCGGCTGTTAACCGTGGGCCACTGGGGGGGCATTTTTTTGTCACGTTCGGGTCGCGTTTCAGGCGACCGCTCGTTGAGACAGCAGCCGCGTTAGAAGAAGGCGTTATCCGCAAGGTAGCTCCGCAAGGTACAAGCAAGCCGTAAGTATGCGAGTGGCGACGGCAGCTATGTCGCTGTTGATCACTATGGGTGAGAAGGGGCCCATCACAGTGAGTCGGTTGATCAAGGATATAGCTGACCAATTGCTAAAGCCGGCAGAAACGATAATTATGTCAGTGGGCCATATTCAGAAGAAGGACACGTTGTTGTTGGACACCACTATTCAGGGGCTGTGCCTGACAAACCTGCTGCCCGATGCGTCACGGAAGCCATCGGAATACCAGATATCTTACTGGCGGCGGTTCTTTGCGTCCGCTTCGGGAGTGGTTCGAGACAGTTCGGTTAACACCGCCATTGCGCATTCGCCCGTAGCGTCGTCCTTGGCGCGATCGGAACCTGGGTCGGAACCTGGTTCTGAGCCGGGGTTCGAACCGGGGTCTGGGTTTAGAAGGCGGGGGACAGCGCCGACGATGGGAGAGTATATGAGTACGATTCCAAGTCTTAAGTTTTACTTCAAGGCGCCGGCCTCCGTTGCGGCAGACTCGAGGCTCTCCTTAGCTGGTTGGGCGACACAGCCGTGGCTGTCATTTTGGGACGACGACGACATGATCCACCCGGAGCGCACACAGACGCTGGCGCGGTATATCGAGGCGTACCCGGAGTACGACGTTTGGTACCATGCGTACAAATGGGGTAAAGTCAACAACGCCACCGGGGCTGAGGACATCGACCATTGGAGGGCCACCACGACAGGGCGCGGAGAACTGGTACCCCTCAAGACCTGGGAAGACATCCAGAGCGAGGCGCCCGAGAGCGTGACCGGACACTGCCCTGGCGTGAAGAAAAGACGAACTTCCGCCCACCAGGCAGAGTTCTACAAAAGGCAGCGCTACAGCTCCTATCTCAGCGTCTACTACACCGCACACGATCCCAACGTCAGTGCTTGCTGGATAACTATCAAGAAAGATTTCCTCAACAAACACCCATTCCGAGATGCCTTTGATGAGGGTACATACCACTTCTGGACAGCGCTTTCGGAACACTGCATGAAAGCCGGCATGCTAGAAGAAGTACTTGGCAGATACATAAAACCAAGAGTGTGGGAATACTAGGATTCCATTCCTCTCTGCACGCACACCCAAAATGTGGAACACAGATTCATCTGTTCGACGACCACGACTCTTTTTGCCGTGAATGACCAAAGATTTTCGTCCAGCCCCAAGTTCGGGCTGCGGTGGGTGCGGCAAGCCCCACAGTGATGAAACACTGACAAAAAGCACCCAACCCGTTCGGATCAGTCTGTCTTCCGTCGCTCACTGTTGACCCACCTTCGAAACTGAACACCCATCTGAATCACATACGGTGAAATCATGGAGCAGTAACAATTAGGTTATGAGCATTTGCTTCGATTTCAGTCTACGCGACGGGACGTGCTGACGGGAAGGGACGTGCTGACGATCAGTGACAAACACGTTACTCACTGTTTCAGTTCTACGTAGTGGTTATAACGTGCGGTGCTGGCGCGGCTCCGGCTGCGTCAATGGAGTGTCATTGTCTAGACCCGGGGCTAAGCTCATTGGATTACTAGGGGTAGATTGGATTTCGATTACTAGGGGTAGCATTTAATATATTTAGCTGCAAAAAATGAGCACGGCAGTTCCCTTGTCTGCTTTCGTGGCAGAACGCGAAATATCCAGTAAAACCGTGCGGCAGCAGAATGGTAAGCCGACACTGTTTCGAGCGCGCGCGTGTTTGCGCACACGTTTGCTTGAGCGCGCACAAATGTTTCCGGACGCTTGTTTTTGGTTGACTGAGATGCGTGTTGAGTGTAGTGCAGGCGGTTACGGCGCTGGGTAAGATAATGGCGTCGAGTTTGGGTCCTTCTGGGTTGGACAAGATGTTAGTGGACAACTTGGGCGAGATGTTGGTAACCAACGACGGCGCTACGATTTTGAAGCAGTTGGAGGTGCAGCACCCGGCGGCGAAGGTGTTGGTGGACCTGAGTGACTTGCAGGACCAAGAGGTGGGCGACGGGACGACGAGTGTAATTTTGTTGGCGGCCGAGTTGATTAGGCGTGGACAGATTTTAATAGAACAGGGCATCCACCCGACGTGGATCCTACAGGCGTTTAAGGCGGCTGGGAAGGAGGCGGTTCGGTACGTGCACGCGAATTTGAGTGTTCCGTCTACTGGGCTAGGTGAAGGTGTCCTAAAGTCGATAGCGAGTACTTCGCTTTCATCCAAGTTAATAGGCGGCGATGCACCGTTTTTCGCCGATCTGGTGTGCCAGCTGGTACCCAAGGTTGCGACTGTGGATCCGATGACTGGGAAGACGCGTTATCCGGTAAAGGCGATCAGTGTGCTCAAGACTCATGGTAAGAGCACGAAGGAGTCTTTTGTGGTAGATGGTTTTGCTCTCTCGCATATCGGTCGAGCGGCTCAGGGTATGCCAATGGTCGTGAAGGATGCGCGCATTGCCGTGTTGGAGTTTCCTCTTAAGCAATACCGTGCTCAGATGGGTGTCCAGATTTTGGTGACCGCGGCTGACGAGTTGGAAAAAATTCGCGAGATGGAAAAAAATATAACGCGCGATCGCGTGAAGAAGATCTTGGACGCGGGTGCGAACGTGATCTTGACCTCGGAAGGCATCGATGACATGACGCTCAAGTACTTTGTGGAGGCCGGGGCCTTCGCAGTGCGGCGTGTTCCAGGCGCGGACTTGCAACGCATCGCGCGCGCCACCGGCGCTAAGCCTGTGTTGACGATGAGTAGTTCGGATGACGACCAGGAAAGCTTTGACCCGGCCTGGTTGGGTCGTGCGGAGCAGGTGTATGAGGAGCGCGTGGGTGATTGGGATTTTGTGTTCATTCAGAACTGCGCCGGCGGGAGGGCGGCGAGTCTCGTGCTCCGGGGTGCGAATGACTATTTGATTGACGAGCTCGACCGATGCCTTCATGACGCCATATGCGTCGTGGCCAAGACCCTCGAGTCCGGCGCTGTCTGTGCCGGCGGCGGCGCCGTCGAGACAGCACTCTCCGTTTATCTTGAAGACTATGCACGCACCATGGGCTCTCGCTCCCAAGCCGCCATCGCTGAATTTGCACAAGCGCTTCAAGTCATACCCAAGACCCTAGCCGTCAACGCCGCCAAAGATGCCACCGACCTTCTCGCACAACTCAAAGCGTGCCATTACAAGTCCCAAATCTCGGACGAACATTCCGACAAACAACTGAAACATTTCGGATTAGACCTGACCCAAGGAACCGTACGCGACAATCTAGCTGCTGGCGTCGTAGAACCCGTCCTCACTAAAACCAAGGCCATCCGCTTTGCCACCGAAGCAGCCGTCACCATCCTTCGAGTCGATGACATCGTTCGCAACATGCCTACCGACACACAACAAAACTAACTAACTGACAACCTCGCGCGGCGGAGCACACACCCTTTGTCCCATACATCTCCGAGCTGCACTGTCGGGATACCAAGTACTTTTACATCAAACATGACTTTCGTGTAGTTCCACTCGGGCTTTCGGGTTACTCACTTGACCTTCGTGGGCTTTTAGGGACTGTCTGGTGAGTTAAAAGTCCGCGACACAACGACAGAGCCGAGAGTTTTTTGGGGGCTTCTCTGTCGCCTTTTTTATTACCGCTGCATGCCGACCAAGGAGAAGAAAACCAAGGCCCAAATTGCCCAGGCTGCGGCTGCCGGTTCTCGTGCCAGAAAGAAGGTCAAGGCCCGGAAGGTCGAGAAGGTCCGCAACGCCGTCTTCTTCGACGAAGCTTCTTACAAGAAGCTCGAAACGGAAGTTCCCCGCATGAAGGTCATTACTCCCTACGTCGTGTCCGACCGCTTGAAGATCACCGTCTCGTTGGCCCGCAAGGGTCTCCGCGAGTTGGAGTCCAAGAACCTTATCAAGAGAGTCTCGGACTACGAGTCGTCCATGATTTACACTCGCGCATAAACTTTGACTTTTTCTTTCCAACAAGTTCACTGTCATAAAAAGGCGGGCGTCGCGTTGTTCTTGAGGGCGCTGCGCTGCGTTCTTGCGTTTGGTTGCTCAATTGTAGAGCGAGTCCTGGTTACTGAGGGGTTGGGTATTGATGGGTATGGTGAAGTTATTATTCCGCGGTTGTGGCGGGCTGGCGATAAGTGTGCCAGTGCCTTCGAGGCCGGGGGACATGGGGTTGACCCCGACTGTTGAGTCCGTGGCGTTGACGAGTTGTGTGCCGCCTGTCTTTTGCCTGGTTTCGAACGCCTGTTTGGCGGGTTTGGAGGCCATGTTACGAGAGATGTCGTGGGTAATCTGTTTGGTAAGGCCTTTGTGTTCCAGATGTTGGGCAAGGGCCTGGGGTATGGGTGCGTCCGAGATGGGTTGAACGCGCCCGGTGAGCGGGACGGAAACACGATGGGCCGTGCGTGTTGTCGGGTTGGCTTTTTTGGCCGCACGCTCACCAGCCAGAATAGCGAGCAGCATTCCCGCAATCAAGACCAAATATGCCACAAAGAGAATGCTGATTGTTGTTGCGCGGTCGTGCTGAAACCATACACCCCACATTGACAACGCCACCGACACCAAACTCGTTACCGCCAATGGCCACAACGATGCAGCATGTCCTTTCCGCCATGCACTCACTGAGGTCATGAACGAAGGTAACCGTATTCCAAAGTAACGGTTCGGCTCCAATCGACCATTTGCTGCAGCACCCACTACCCCCAAGGTGATCGCTGTTGATAACAACAAAGGGGTCGCCAACAATGCCGCGCCGTTCCGACCCAATGACGTGTTCCAATTCGTATGATCCATCTGGGTGCACTTTCCGGGTGCGCCGCACCGTGCCCGCCCTGTATTACACTGCCGCTTGATTACAGCCGTCTTACGTTACCTACACCCATCTCAGAGGTTGGTTACACACGCAACCCTTCTTAGAGGCGATAAACGTGCTGTGGGTAAACTGCCCCGTTGTAGACTTGTGTTATACGTACTAGGTTGGAGGTAAATAAGGTTCGGCCTTCGTGTAGGTTCAAACGTTGAGTGGGTTCACGCGTGCGAAACGGTCCATTTGCTTTTCGAGTTCGTTGCAGAGTTCGGACTCATTGAGAGCTGGGGATGAGGCGTTGACTTCTTCTTCAAAGGCGACAGCCCAGAGAAGTGCGCTCATGAGAGCCACGAAGCTGACGGCGGTGGAGAATGCTGGGTCTGCTAGGAGGATGACCGACATTTCGGAGATACCAGCAAGTAGATAGAAAATGAGATTGGCACCTCCATGCCAGTCATTGGTACCCTCATCATGGTATACCTCCAGCAGGAAGAAACTCAGCCCATAACCAACATAAGCCAATGCTCGGATGACTCGGGCTCCATTACAGAACACCCAATCCAGATTCCCATCTCGGAAATGGGTCCACATCGCATCCGTGTAATAACTGCTGAAATTTAGTGCCCATGCCAACTGCATAGTCGACGCTACCACATCGAAGAAACTTGCGTAACTTAATAACTTGCTACCCGCTCGATATCCACGAGACCACGCTGCATCATCCGCCAATCCAGCCTGGAATGCCGTCAACAAAATCGATCCCAGGAAATACAGAATGTTGAATCCCAATAAAGCCAATCGATACGTCTCATTGTTCCGCATCTCCTCCGTCGTGTGCCTCAAGTCCCACGTATAGTAGCCAAGCCCCTAAACAAACCGAATTATTCTTTGCTACCCTTCTGACCTCTCCCTCTTCTGACCATCTCCCCAACAACCAGTCATGCTTCCACCACCTGGCCGTCCGGGCCTCACCATCTGGGCATGACCCATCTCCCCTGACTATCTCGACCTCCGCATCTGCAAGGCCTTCCCCCTCTCTCGCGGCCTCGTAGCTTACACCAAATGCGTAGTGGAATAGAATCATCCCCAGTAGCGCCAGAGTCTGGAACAGAAGACCCGTCCTCAGAAAGCCCTTCGAACACCGGTCCAGTGAACCGGCCACGAAGCCCGTGTAGACCTTAGGCCGGTTGAGCAGGAATCCTTCGCGGTCAAAACCTTCGTGTCGAGTTGCGACCCACATGTCGAGTGCACCTCTTTGCACCTGCGCCCTCAAGACCCGCCTGCACCCGAACCCGATCTGTCTTCGACCATCTTCTCGTCCTCGCCTTCGACCGTCTTCTCGTCATCGCCTTTGACTGTCTTCTCGTCATCCCCTTTGACCAACTTCCGTTTCTTAAACCGACTACCCGGTCCCACGCCCGCTCCCGTCCCCGTCCCCGTACACGTCGTCCCGAACCTGTACTGCTGGTACTGCCTCCGCTCCAGGTCTGTCTCGACCAACTCGTCCACGATATTGTCCGACTCTCTTACGGCCTCCCTGGAGGCCCCCAAGTCGTCGCAAACAGACCGCGCTCGCACGTCCCCGCACATCACCTGCTCCCCTTCGTTTACTACCTGCCACTGACCCGGCGCACCGGCCGCCGCGCCGTGCGTCGTCTGCAACTGCCGAGCACGCCGCATTATCGCTTCCAACGTCATCTCTTCCGACTCCTCTGACGGAGCTTCCGTCCAGGGGGGCTTTACTGGGGGCTCGGTCGACGGGGGCAGCGTAGACAGAGACTTCGGTCCCGGCTCCGATCCCGCTTCTGCTTCCGTCGGTTCCTTCGACCTGCCTTGGACTGCGACGCCCTGTGTTCCCGACAGCGCCTCTGAACCCGACGCGGCTCCTGACTCCGGCGGGTCAGCGCCCCTAAGTCTCAGTGTGTGCTCAGGGAACTCGGGTTTGACCCAGAGTTTTACGTTGAGGAGCGCGTTGAAGTAGACGGGGAGTCCCGTGGTTTCGTGAAGTTCCTCGACCCAGTTGCCAACGTTTTGCGCGCGCCGACTTTTTTGGAGCCGGTCTGGCAACTCTTCGAAGGCTCCGTAGAACGTGGGGTCCAGCCCACTAAGGTCCACGTCGTCGTCCGACACGCTTGCTGCAGCATCTGCCCTGCCACACGTGACATAAGCCCCTTTTTTCTCCGCGGCAGGGCCGGCGGGTGGCAGGCGCGAGGTCGTGGTCTTGCGGTCAAGCAGCCGGTTGCGGATAAAATCGGCAAGGTCTCCTTTGTCTCGCTCCCGCTGCGCCTCGCTTACGAATTGGTGCATCGGGTTGGGGGCGCGATAGTCTCGTGGGGGCGGCCGGACGGGCTCGGCCGGCGTCGGCTTTGTAGTCGCCGACCAGGGTTTGGCGGGGGGCGGCAGACCTGAGGACTGTAGACCGTCCGGACCGGGGACAAAGGTGCTCGGGTCCGGAAAAAGGACGTCGTCTTGGATCGCGGCCTGCATAGAGGCGAGGGCGGCGCCTTCGATGGCCCGGAGAGTGTCCTGGACATGTTGAGCTGCGGCCGCCTTCTCTCTTTCCTCTTCCGCGAGCCGTTTCAGAGTACTTTCCTTCCGTCCTTTATGCACTTCACTCGCATTGTGGGCCGCCACATTCCGCGGGTGTCCAGAGAGCCACACGTTGCACACCCCGCAGTGGTGCTTCGCAACCGACTTCCAGTATTCAGACATCTCACAACGATCGAACCGCCTTTACCTCCGGGAATATCAACGGCCAATATTAGCAAGCACACCCCGCCACAGACGTATACCCCACCACGGGCGTATACCCCACCACGGACGCTAAGCTGTCTGGGCGTACACCCCACCACGGACGCTAAGCTGTCTGGGGGGTCTAAGCTGTCACGGGGGGGTCTGAGCTGTCACGGGGGGTCTGAGCTGTCACGGGGGGTGTCCATGCCATCGCGAGGGCTGGGTTACTCGTTGAGTTGGGTTAGCGACGAAGGCCAACCGTGTGCAAACCCGTGCCAAGAGTGAGTGGGTCAAGAATGGACAAGGGCGAGTAGTAGAAACGGAAGAGAGCGGTTGCGTGATTCCTTTGGTAATGTCCCCCCTCCTTTGGTAATGTCCCCCCCCTCCCCCCCCCTCCCGGGGTCTTCCGCAGGGATGTTTTGAACCTATCTGACCAAAAGGGAAGGCATCCGTCACTGTGTCATCTGTCACTGTGTCATCTGTCACTGTGTCATCCAGCCAGCACGTAGCAGGCAGGGGGTAGCAAGAGGCACACAGTGTTTGTGCGGGTCCTCTCATCCAGCAAACACCCGGCTTAAAAAAAGGATGAGCCAAGACTGGTGGGTGCTCATCCACTCTTTTCGAGCCCACTTTCGCACGTTCGTCTGTATCCTACTGTGGTACATCACGAGCTTGACCATTACTGCGACCAATAAAGTCCTTCTTGATCTACTTCACTTCCCGTTCCCTGTCTTTACAACTTTCATTCATTTTGCTGGAGTTGGCCTCCTCCTGAAAGTCGTAACCTGACCCTTCCCGAAACTTCCCTTGGTCCTTCTCTTGGTCCTCCCCAACCTCTCTTGGTCCTCCCCAACCTCTCTTGGTCCTCCCCAACCTCTCTTAGTCCTCCCCAACCTCTCTTGGTCCTCCCCAACCACCCTTGGCCCTCCCCAAACACCCTTGGCCCTTCCCAACCTCCACCACATTCCCGAACAACTCTCGTCGATGGATCAGGCTGACTGTATCTGACACTTCAGGCCAGCTTCTGCACAAGGAACAGAAAGGACAACTTCGGTGAAATTGAGTTGAAACCATTCGTCAAATACATTCTTCCAAGTAACCAAGACAACAGTCAAAAGACACTAGGATTCTGCCTCGCTGTTCCTTCCACCTGTTATGTCGCCGTGGTTGCGACCTATGAATGTTCTTGTAGTCTCAATCTTTTCCGCATTGGAAGTGACGTTGACGAACCAAGCTTATTCGATGGTCTCGCTTTCGGTGTTGACGGTTGTAAAGTCTACGTTGGTGGTTGCGACTTATATTGTTAGCATTATCTTTGGTAAGTGGTTTGGTAAGTGGTTTCTGTTCTGGTGTGTGCACACACGTGTGTATGTATGACTATGTATGACTTCAGAGCTCGAGCGATTCAACCTGCGACTGGCGCTGATCTTGACATGGATAATTACGAGTGTGTGCATGTGCTTGCCGGGTATGCATATGCGGTCTGGTTTTGGCGTGTTGATTCTGGCGATGGCGGTGATTGGAGCATCGCTTCGCTGGGTTTTGATCCACTTGCAGATTCAGCGGTTCCGGACTCCCAAGGGTCAGTTGATCGCTTTGACGCAACCGTTGGCAGCTCTGTGTTTGGTTCCGGCTGTGGTGGTGTACGATGGACCCTCGATGTTATCTTCCTTTTACGAAGGGCACGGGTCGTTGATCTCGATACCGGAGCACGGGAGTTCTTGGGCCGTTGCTATGAACCACTTTTTGCGTTCGGCGGATCGTGTTATGCTCATATCTGCCTTGTTGGCATTGGCCACGGTTTTGGTTACTATCCTGCTGTTCTTGGAGTTCCAGGTTGTTGAAGACAGCTCTTCACTCTCTTTGGTTGTGGCCGGGACCGGGAAGGAGTGTCTCACCGTCGGCATGGGCCTCATCATCTTCCGCGAACGTCTCCCGCTCCGCAGCTGGATCGGACTAGGCAGCAGCGTACTTGGCATCTTGGCTTATGCACACACTCGCGCGCTTATGGAGAACGAACAAAAGGCCTTCGCGCGAGCACGACGCGACAGCGATGACTCTGCACAGTCAACTCTCAAACTCGACCAAGACACCATTGAACTGGCCACCACAACTGGCTCATCCGGCGTCGAGGTTTAGCACGAGCGACGGACTGCAACGGAACCCCTTTTGTGGGACAACGGAACCCCCTTGGACAACGGCACTGCTACATCACGAACAGGAGCTGAGTGTTGCACAAAGGGCACTGAACAATGTTTCCTCCCTTCTTCTTGCTGAATTCGATCAGTTCGCGGAAGCACTTTCGGTGAAAGGCGTGCCTACATTTGTTGGACGCCACTACAGGCTCCATGCAGTCGTTTAGATTTTCAAGGCACATGAAACACACGTCTTGCAGCCGGTTTTCGAAACACTGATGAGGCACACCTACAGGCCAACAGCTGCGGCATGTGGGGCAGTGTTTAAAGTCCTGCTGCCGTCCCAGTCGACAACAACCACATTCGCTGCAATGGAAGACCGAATTGGACTTGTTCTGCCAAATATTACATTTTTCGCACCAGTGGGAGCCCCCAAACGTCAACTTGCAGTTGCTGCATTTATTTGTCGCCACTTCCGCCTGCTCTGTGTCGCAGCTCCCGCATTTAATGCGGGTGATTTCAGTCGACATCAAAGTGTGTGCACACACTTTTTCCGCCTCGTCCCCGACGAGACTTTGCCCACCCAAGGCACCCCGAGTCGGATTCTTGGCCTCCTCCTGATCCTTAGCGTCATTGTGGCACCGATGGCATGGATACCATGTTTTACTAAAAAGACATACCATGTCGCCAAGCCGCGAGTACCCAGCCGCGAGCGGCCCGCCCGAAGCACCTACCAGCAGTCTGCTTGAATTAATACCCCATGGCTGAAGTGAGGACAGGAAGATCGGTCCTTATTCTTGGAGCCAAAGAGCCAGTTCAGCTTCATGAGTCTGTTTCAAATTTATATGGCTGCTGGCCCGGCGGGTTCGGCGTGGTGTGTTACACAGCATGTTCAGAGGCGTGTCACGGGAGTGGGGGGTCTAGGAGGGTGGGTATCGCCTTTGGGACGTTGTTTGTTGAGCGCACGTGTGCGGCAATCGGCGCCACGGCCGATCTGCGCAAGACGAGGCTAGGGGGCAGATAAAAAATATGGAGGAAGAGGCTGTGAGTATCAAGACGTGTGTCCTGTGGATTCCGCGCGGTGTAGCGGCAGAGAAACCGTCTGTGGTCGACGTGGCTGAGGATCAACTGACGACAGCGGGTGCAGGCAAGAGGGCGGACCGGGCTTCGGTGGAGATTGCTTCGGATGGCGCAAGCCAGGACCAAGACCAGAGTCAGGCTGCCTCGGCGGCTTGTCAAGACGCGTTCGAGAAGGAGTTCCGGATGGACGGCTACGACCGGGAGGAAGCGGACGGGTCGAACTGGTTTTCGACTACGAAGAAAGACCTGGAGTTGATGGCGAAGGCGGACCCGTACTTGGACCCGAAGGAGTTGGCGGCGATGGAGGCGGAGAACGCCGTAGACTTGCGGATCGACGCGAAGAAGGACTTGCCATTGGTGCTGGGTTCGGTGGAGGGCGGCGACGACTGCACGGTGGAGACGTATTTGTACGACGAGGAGGCGGCGGAGAGTTATACGCACCATGCGATTGTGATGCAGGCTTTTCCGTTGTGTATGGAGTACCTGCCGATTTTCGGACACAAGCGGAGACGGCAGTACATCGCAGTGGGCACATTTTTGCCGGTGATTGAGATTTATAATAACGACCGCATCAACCAGTTAGAACCAGACTTCGTGCTGGACACGAAGGACTGTCACCACGACGAGGCGGTGTCCGCTCTCCAAGTCAACCCGAAGCAGCCGCATATCTTGTTGTCGCTTTCGCACGACCGTAGCGCGATCCTCTGGGACCTGGCGACCAAACAGCCCCTCAAGAAGCTCTCGGCTTTGGCCGAGGACAAAATCAACTGCGGCCAGTGGCATCCGGAGGGGCACGTTTTCGCCTGCGGGTCCGAAGACGAGACCATCCGCATCGTGCACGCGGCTTCTGGTCGTAGTTCCGCTGTTCAGGTCGGCGAAGTGGTTGAGTCCCTCACCTGGCTCCGCGGGCAACCCAACTTGCTCGTGGCAGGCGCTTCCGACGGCTCGCTCTTTGCTTATCATGTGGACGACCAGGCCGCCCGAAAGGTATGGGAAACTACCGTCAGCGACTCGCCCGTACTCTGCGTAGCCGACTGCCTCATACCCGGGCTCCTCCTCTGCGGCTGCGAAGACGGCGCTGCCTGCGTCTACGATACTCGCACCCTTCCTTTCACCAAAGTCGCCACCAAAGACATGCAAGCCGGACCCCTCTACCACGCACAGGCATCCCCCGACGTGCCCTCTCTAGTCGCCTTCGCCGCCACCGATTCCGTCATCTGGGACCTGCTGTATGAACAACCTGTCCGCACCGCCTTCGGACTTGCCGAACCCAACTCTGATGAGGCACCCACCCAAACGCCCTGAAACCACAGGCCACAACGACTCCGCAACGACATCACGGCGGCGGCCAGTGGTAACATGAGCCACCGCACACCAGCCAGTGGTAACATGAGCCACCGCACACCAGCCAACAGCAACATGACCGACGCCGTTGCCGACGGTGTGGGTGGTGTGCTAGGGGAGGGGCATACTCCTGGCGTGCTAGGGGAGGGGCATACTCCTGGCTGGCAGTGGCATACTCCTGGCTGGCATGGACCTTGGTGTGAAGTTAGCGATCCATCTTGCCATGAGGTCGGCAACCAAGAAGCCCTTTTCGGAGGGAGCAATGGAGCAAGCCACAAGGCAAGTCACAAAGCCGTACCACGTTCTAGGTTCTGTCTGATTTCGTGGACGTATTCGCCGTACGCTTTCTCGAGGGTCTTGTTGAAGAGCTGATTCCTGCGGTTGATGTAGTTCACGTCGCCGACCGTGGTCAGCTTGGTCGGTCGCGTCTTCTTCTTGATCCTTGTCTTGCTGACGATCGCTCCCAAGTTGCCGGTGGCGGTCGTCGCTGCGTGGGCCACGACCCCGATCGAGTTATAGGCCAGCTGCCCTGTTGCTTCGTTGAGGGCACTGCTGGCGGCTGCCGGGCTGGTAGCGACTCGGCTCTTCTGTAGTCTAGCCAGCTTTTTTTCGTACGACCTGTAAACCGAGTGCTCACTCCAGACGGAGAAGTTGTACTGCCGTCTCTCCGCCTTGTCCAGCTCCCGCATGTGCTCGCGAGCCGCCTCCGCCGCAGAGACACTCTCGTACTTGTCTCGGAACTCAATAGAAGCAGCCTCGATCCGCGAAACCGGACGCGCAGGGTGTCCTTGTCGCAACAGGCGCTTGTCCAGGTGTTTGACATCCTCCATCAACTGCCCTATATTGTGCAGCCGACTCTGCAACTCCGAATCGCCGCCTTTATCTCTGCTCCTATCCACCCTCCTCCTCTCCTCCCCACTTCTCTCCTCCTCCCCGATTCTCTCCTCGTCCCCGCTTCTCTCCTCGTTCCAGTTCCTCGCTCCCTGCCATCCCTTGCCGTCCACTGTGGGCTCGGGGTTAGGGCCCATGGGCTCACCCTTCGCTTCCGTCCGATCTGGAAGCGCAGCGGATAGAGAAGAAGACTGGGCTGATTCAGCCGGCAGCTCGTTACTCACCCCATGCCGTTCTCCTTCGGCCATGTCTCCCTGGTCATTATCGCTCTTGATATTGTCGTCCTGGTCACGGCCACCCTGGTCATTATTATCGATGCCACCCTGGTCATGGCCACTCTGGTCATTAGCCCCTTCCGGCATCGCCTTCATGGTTTCATTCTCAAGTGCTTTTTTTCGCATGATGTGGGCCTTAGTCAGTTCTAGTAAGGCATTCCGCGGCTTGGGACCGCCGTTTATTAATGACTGAAGCAATGCCTCACCTTGCTTGACAGCGGGGTCTGAAATCTCTCGCCTGGTACTTCCCTCATATAAACCGCAGCCGCTCACCAAGATCGGGATCTTCGGAATATCTCTCTCGTCCACAGGAATCTTTTCCATCGCCCTTAGGATCTCCATACCCATCCTTACTTGACCAACCACAACGTTTCTTCGATTCATGTGAGGCAACCACTTCAACGTGATGTAGAACTGAGACCCATTCGTATTTGGACCGTCGTTACACATAGAGACTACTCCAGCGTACGCATGCCATAAGCTAAAATTTTCGTCCTCGAATGTTCTACCATATATACTCTCGCCGCCTCTACCATTATTGTACTCTATGTCTCCACATTGGATAAACTGTCCTGGGATCACTTTGAAGACTTTGCAGCCAGCATAGCACAAAGGCAATTTTGTTTCGCTGCTAACTCCTCGGGACCCTGTGCACAATGCCTCGAAATTCGCCGCAGTTTTCGGTACCACATTCGCAAATAGCTCTATAACCACTATACCGGCTTTCTTGTTACCAAATTGAAACTCCAAGAAGACTCTCGGATTGCGCTTCGCCATTTATATCCGGAGCACACGTGTGTGCTAATGCGATATTTCGGTTTGATATTGTTTTTTCGCCCTAAACGGGGCCAATGCTGCGGAGGATATCATTGCCAGCCAGGATGCAGTGGACTGGTTCTCAGCACTCGAAACACCTAAGACTCTCCTGCCATTTGCATGGTGCAGTTCTGACAGAATGGGAATCGCGATACCGACGAAATCGAAATCATTGAAGTATGTTCCGAAAACTTCCAAGCATCGACAGCTAGAACAGGGAGATGTATATGAATATCCCAGTGATACTGAAACATGGAAAGGGGCCGGTCCTGGTTGCAGGGGCGGATATGCAACCAAATTTTTCAGTGGACGACGACGAAGACGGGCATCAGCTCATATGGGATCTGTGCCATATGGCGAGTGTGGGACCACGGAGGTCATCACAGACAATTCTCGTGTGTACACAAATCTTTATTCGCCAATTGATGGCGGTCAGGCTGTGGCAGTTACTTGTACATGTCCGCTGATAGAGGGCGGCAAGTGTCAGCCGGCCGCTTCAGTGCTGGACTCACTGAGTCCTGTTCACCAGAGCAGCCCTCGTCGATTGCAAGGCGCGCTTGTGAATAGTCGGGCAACGACTGGAAAATCTGGAAGTACTCTCGTGTCCTTCTCAAGCAACAAACAGGTGTTCCGGTTTGACTTGAAAAATGCTGAGGATGGGATTATACCGTGGCCAGCTACCTGTGATGTTCGAACAAATAATGGCACCGGCCAAAGACGAATAATTGACAACGGCTGTCCTCTGGACCAGGGCTTGCTCTTCGAATACCACGCTGCTGAAACCCCGGGAACTACAATATTCTCGACGGCTCCTTTTGGATCGAAATACGAGCGAAGCTCTTTGAGCATTACTTGTGCTCTGACCGAAGTACCTGAAACTAAGGTGACGGAAATGTTAGCAACATGTCCAGGATACACGGCTCCGCGTCGTAGTTTGGCAGAGGCATCGAATTCGAAGACTGTGAAAATGAAGACTGGGGAGCCGTTTTCCGGCATGCTGTCTGCGGACAGCACTCACTTGAAGTTTGGGAAGACATTGAGGGAAACGGCTAAGGATAAGGAAGAAGTGGAAGTTCGGAGCAGGGTAAAGGTGTTGGAGAAGGCCGTCTCATCTGGAGCCTTCGGCAATTTTGAAGAAGCTATTCGCCGAGCGGAGGAGTTCGACGAGTCGGTACGGAAGCCGGAGCAGATCGGCGGGGGCACGAATCGGTTGCCCCTGGATCAGGTATATAATCAGTACATTCATGGACCAGTTGCCGTCAACTGGGGTGCTCAGGGCTCTACTCGCGCGTGGGACGCTGGAGTGGTGGCGCCCATATTGTACATGAATGGTGGCCTGTCTCCGTCGAACCGGGGTGGATACTACTCGGTGGGCGTACACGGGGACTTGCTGAATACTCAGTGGGTCGAGGCAACCCAGACTGTGAATGTCGGTTTCGCGAAGAAGCTGTATGGTGTGAACGTGGACGTGTCGACTGGAGCTCCCGGCGCCGCTTATGAAGTTCGAGCTCGCAATGTGGACGTCATTAGTGCGGCTGACTCTATCGACCGGGCGTTTGGGCAACGCGTAGCGGTGCGCAACTTCGGGTTGTCGTACCGTAGGGACCTCAACGACATCATTGATCCGGCTGACAGTGATTTTGGAACGGAGATCTACGTCCAGTATCGTACCATTAATGTTGCCTTGGGCACGGATGTCTTGGACACACGCTACTACATCTCCATCGGCATGCTGGGAGTCAATGTCGCGGCTACCCGTGACTTTGACTCGTATGCAACGAACCTCCAAATCAACTGGGGACGCGGTTGGCAGATCTTTCTGGAGGGCGATTTCCCCGACGATGGAAACCTAAGGCTTGGTCAGGCAGTCGGGATTGGCAAGCCCAATCGAATGTATCTGGCGGTCGGAAGTGGAGTTGGGGAAACGGGATTGCCGCTTGCTGCCGTCAACTGGCAAGGACCCCATGCCCACATTGGGCTGGGCTGGCTGGAGAAGGGAGGAGAGCGGGTTACGCAGTATGCTGTCACTGTGGGACGACATACTTACTTGTGGGAAAATACGTTCCTCCCAGATCTCATTCGAATTCCTCAGATTTAAGGCACTTTTGTCTGGGCTTCTCTGGTCGGCTGCGGGTGAGTATGACGCAGGGGAGTCCATGCCCGGTGATCGGACTGCTGGATAGAATTGATTTAGCGAAGTTAGTGAACAATTAATGCATGGATCAGTTAATTGAATGGAGGAGTGTGAAAAACTATCGCTGTTGTACGAAGGTAAGAGCGGCTTCTTTGCATTCTTTGATGGATGCGGCAGTGCCGTGTTTTACTTCGAAAGTGATCCACTTTTCGAAAATGGTTTTGGCCCTAGTGGGGTTGGATTTGATGTTGTTGACAGCTTTTTTGAAGAGCTGTCTAGTGAGGACTACGTCATGTTTGCCGCTGACCGATTTGACTTGGGCGTCGAGGAAGATGGTCCAGATGTCGGTTCGTTTGGCCTTTTGTTCGAGAAGGTTAAGGAACCGGGACCGGCCGAGTTCTGGTGAGCCGTAGACGAATTCTAGTTTGGCAAGGTGGGCCTGGAAGCGAATTTGGTCTTTGGCGGTGAGGACGGAGAGTACTCTGCGTTCGGTTTGTTCGATTACGTCTCGGTTGGCGACGGGCAGGCGCGTTTTTGTTTTATTGACGACCGCGTTTTGTTTGCTTTTGTCGTGTTCCAGGTAAGTTCTTCGGTAGAGGGAGTCTAGCCAGCGCAGCCAAATGTCCAAGTCGCGTTGTCCCTTGAGGACGATTTTGGCCAGCCAGTCGAGGACATCCCAATTGCATTTTACTTCGTAGAGACCGATGACGTGTTTGAAAACTTCACGCGGGTCGTTGTACTGGACGGCTTTCTTAAGTACGTCACGGTGGCGTGTGGGGTCGTTGGAAAGTTCGATGACGATGTTGAGAAGCGCCTTCCAGATGTCCAGACGTTCCTTCTTTTGTTCGAGAGGAATGGAGCCGATGCCTCGGTTGGCAATTTCTTCGACCTTGTCTAGGTTCTCCAGCTCGGCCCAGTAAGCCATATAGTGGATCCAAGCGAGCGGCTTGTCGCCCTCGACCATGACCAAACGCTCCAGGTCGCCCTCATTTTCGAAATCAACTTGGCCGGTCGCAATGGCGCGCTCGCGGTCCGCCACCGCCGCCTCCTCCATCTCTTCTTCCTCCGACGAAGACTCCTCCGCCTCCGTGCTATCGCTCTCCACTTCCGGCTCGCTCTGAATCTCAGGCTGCTCCTCGTCAAGTTCCGGTTCCGAGTCGGACTCGGGCTCCGGATCGGACTCGGGCTCCGGATCGGACTCGGGCTCCGGATCGGACTCGAGCTCCGGTTCGGACTCCGATGTAGAGTCCGCCGCTCCGTCTTGCTCGGACCCCTCGGTTTGTCCTTGATTCTGTCTTCCCTTTCCTTGCTGAACTGCCGGTGCTAGCTCGTCCTCCCCTTCCGCCTCCGACTCTGCACCCATCGCGCCAGCCTCGGCTTCGGACTCGGGGTCTGTTTCCACTTCTGGGTCGCTATCATCAACTTCTGGGTCGCTATCATCAACTTCTGGCTCGCTATCATCAACTTCTGGCTCGCTATCATCAATTTCTAACTCGCTATCATCAACTTCTGGCTCGCTGTCCTCGGCTTCGCTCTCTTGTACCTCGGGTTCGCTATCACCCTTGCCTTCCGCTTCAATGTCTTGGTCGTCTTGGTCGGCTTCCTCGACGTCCATGGCGTCGTCGAAGAGGCTCGCCTTAAGTCCGACTTGGATGCGTTGTCTTTTGTTATCGAGGCCGAGGACCTTACAGAGAACGGCGTCGCCGGGTTCTAGATCCAGATCCTGGCCTTCGTCCACGGCATCTTGGTGTCTGCAGAGTGCGCTCAAGTCGGATTCTTCAAAACGGACAAAGACTCCTAATTCGGGGTGTACTCTGGTGACCGTGGCTGGGATGAGCTGGCCAAGTGAGACGGCGTCGAAATGGCTGGCGCCCGTGTAGGCGTCTAGTTTCATGGTCGCGCGTGCCCGGCCGGCCTGCAGACTGACACTGGTAACCTTTACTTGGACAATTTGGCCACGCGGGAAGAACCTGCGGACGTCTGCGTCCTCAGGCACCGGTTTCCGCGCCAGAAACTCCTCCCAGCTCTCGTCCGACCGGTCCTGACCTGACCGGTCCTGACTGCGAAGGTCGCGGTTGCGCAGGTAGACTACAACAGTGGGCGACAAATCGACGAAGACGCCGGCCCGACCAGCGGCACAAACTACGCCGCGGTAGACATGTCCCACGACCAATTCGGAGACCTGGCCGGGCATTTCGGGGACCTGGTCGCAGAGTCTGCCCTGTAGTAAGAGGCCGTATCTCGCGTTTTCGAGACTCGGTTTGGGGTGGGCGGAGTCGATGTACACAAGTTTTTCTTCGCCTAACTTGGCCTGGAAAGCGTTGCCGGAAATATCTGTGGTCGCGAGCAAGGCATGCACGGCTATACGCACAGAGTCCACATAGAAGAGCAGGTTGCACGTCTTGTGTTCCGGTCCAAGACACTGTGCCGCTACGGGGCCGGGGGCGTGGTAGTCGTAGGCGGCTTGTGCGACTTTTTCGGGTGAGCTTTTCTGGGCGACCAAGTCGTGGAACGGAAACATTTTCTTAGGCGCCAGGGCCGGCAAGGCGGACGTGGTGTCCAGGGACGTCAGCACGATCAGCCGGGCCTGCGGGTTCTTTAACAATTTCTTGACACGCACTTTCACCACGGCCCCCGGCTGGTACCTCTTGCTGGCAATGATGGAGGCCTTCAGGACGTCGCTCAGCTCCGTCTCGTGTTCGTATCGGGCGATGTCCGTGAAGGGAAGCGACGCTGTGAGACTACCAAAACCCTTGAGCAACAATGCGTTTTCATTCTGGCGGACTACCACCAGACTGAGCACGTCACCTACATGGCCCTCCTCCGCAAACTTTCTCTGGGACTCAATCTCCTCGGGAGACATCTTCATATGCGTCCGCTTTGCCGTCAGAGTCACCTGCTGCGGCGTCGTACTCACATTGAACACACGTGTGTTAACCTTCTGACCCGGCTTGAACTTGGACCCGGGAATCGCCTTGATGGCCAAGTCCATGGCAAACTCCTTAAATACCCGTCCACGTAACTTGTCGCTCAATTTCACCACTACGTATTCATCTTCCACCTGCGTCACGTCGCCCTCCACCTCCTGACCAATCTGCAAGTCGTCTACGGTCGCGATACGACTGGTGTCCAGTTCCGAGGGCTTCTGGGTCACGAACACGATGGCATCTGCCAAGTTGTTCGCCAAGACTCGGCACGTCTTACCGCTTCCAGGCTTTAGCTGAGACAGCGTAAACTCCGGCGTCTCGTCAGAAACATGAGCCTTAATACATCGCAACAATACACCCCTAGCCATGTCTAGCCCCCATTCTCGGATGGCAGCATCTTGGCTCGGATTTTGCTGCTCTGCATCCTGGTCCGGAGCATGGATAAGATAGCATCCTAATTTATCAGCGCTTGCCACACGTGCATCGTTGACAAGTTTTCCGGCTCTATACTCGTTGTGGAAGGCGTGCATCATGCTCTCAGGAAGGCTCCACCCAATCCAGGTAGGCAGGAAAGAAACGAACACGGCTTTGTCGTTTGGATAAATTGCGATTATTCGTCCAAGACAAGGGGCCGATCGGTACTCGGAGAACTCTGGTAACTGATATGGAGCAGGCTTCATCGCGCCAGGTTGGTCGGCGTCTCGGTCAGTTTGGATAAAGGGGAAGAGTGCTCGAGATGGCTTGCCCAGCAGTATAGGGTGATGCAGGTGGTTTCTGGTGACTTGTCCCGAGATCGTGTTGCAAAAGCTGACGCTAGCTCCCACGAGCTGGCCCGGTACACACTTTTCGATGGGGTGACATTTCCGGTTCGTCGGCAAGAGGCGTTGCTTCTTTTTCTTGGGGATGTTGTCGTCCTCCACGTCCGCCTGTTTGTTCGGGTCCGCGAAGGTTTGCTCGTTCTCTTTGAGACCGGCAATACGGCACTCGACCAGTTGTCCAGGAATAAGTCTGGTTATATCGGCATTATTGGAATAGGCCATGTAGCGGTCCATAGTCTGGGGTAGGCAGACTATGAGCTTGGTCTCATTCTTGACCGAGTCGACAGTGACAGGAACTATCTGTCCGATATGGTAAGAAGGCATGCTAGGTTTCTTCTTGATGAAAACCTTCATCTCATGTTTTGTAGTGGCAGTACCCAGACTACAGTTGTAACCGTGGTCTTCAACGGAAGTGACGGCGACGATAAGCAATTGGTTTTTCATAGGCGGCACCAGCCAGTTGAGACCTGAGTGAATATGGGAAGGGGACATCGTCAAAATTGCCTTCTTACCCCGGGTCTCTAAGACCATGCACACAATCATGTCGCCTCGTTTAAACTCCGGCACAAACTCTGTCCCATTGACCAGAGCCGGCTCATCGGCCACAGCGTTGTCGGAAGGCAGGAAACCACGGCCACTGCCAACCAAGTCGACCTCCCAGCCCTTCTTTCCCTGGTCTCGAACCACACCACACAGTAACGCTCCCGTGGGTGGGTCGTGCAAGGTGTGCGCAGTCATTATGTTGCTACCCTTCGCCAGCGTCTCCCCCGCTTCCTGTGCCACCTCCTCCTCGTTCAGCCTCCGCTTGCGCATCTTCCGCTCCTCCCGCCTCCGACCAGCCGACTTCTTCTGTGGCTTCTTCTTGGCACCCACACCCTTTTTACCACCCGAGCTCCGCTTGCTACCCGATGCCATAGAAATATATTTACCCCGGGACCAATGCTCAAACAGCCCCCATACTATTACGTCCACTCAGGCACAATTCTAAAGGAAACACCATGGGGCTACAAACACCTCTGCATCATGCTATACGTCTCTGCGTGCTATAGGTACGTCTCATCACCTTCCCTATTGAGCCACGGATACTGTCTCTCACCAGAATAACTAGTCCACAACAATGGTGTGTGGTCAAACAATGGTGTGTGGTCAAACAATGGTGTGTGGTCAAACAATGGTGTTGTGGTAGTGGGGAATGGTGTCTGATGGTATCTGGCGTGATGTTATGTTTATAGCTTATTCATTGTGGAGTTTTCGGTGCCGGTCATCTCGCAACAGGCGTTGGTGGCAGAGTTCCCGTCGTTGGGTAACTCGACTTACGTGTGGAATACGGTGATTGCAGTTGAGTCCATTGCGCGTGTGACTTCGGTAATTGGTGGCATGATGGTTGACTACTACGGTCGTTACTACTTGGTCTTGGCATCGTTTCTGAGTTCCATCATTTTTAGTGTGCTCGGTAGTTATACGTATACGGATTCAGTGACGACGAATATGGTGCTATACATCCTCTTTCGTGGTTTGGTCGTGTTATCGGGCGTGCACTGCGGCATGTACGGGCCTATATGGGCCATCGAGTGTTTGGGAGTACAGTACCGAGCTATGGTCTTTTTTTCCTGTCAGGTCCTATGCGCGCTTTGCTACATGGCTGCGACCGGCTTCGAGTGGTCACTGGAGGCAAAGACAGTCGGGGGAGACTGGCGCGCCTTCCAGCGTTACGTGCACTTGCCTATGTTGCCCTTCGTGGCATTCGGGCTCTTGGTCTTTAGTGAAAGCCCAATGTGGCTGCTCGCGAAACGATTCCCGCGCACACGCGTGTGGGACACGTTTCTCTACTTCAGCGGACAACGTATCGGCGACAAGAAGCAGCTGCCGCTCGACCGAATTCGCTTCAAACATATCGACGACGTCGATCCCTACACTTTACGACACCCAGGCAGGCTCTGCACCTGCAGGCCTTCTCGAACAGGCTACGATCGTACAGAGGACCTCGGAATACAAAGGGAAACAGCACCTAGATACATGTACAGCGGCACTTTATGTCCTCAGGAGATACTCCCAACCTTCGCTCACGGCTGGCGCAAACCCGACGGCTGTCTCAAGGGCCAAGGCAGCACCTGCGATGGGGCACTGGCGAACACCGAAACTACCCCCAGACCCCGTTGGTATGCACCCATCCCCGCGGAAGTCTCCCACCAGGAGTCTTCCGGCGACGCAACCACCTTTAATACTCGCGAAAACATCCGAGAGGAACATTCCGACACCGGGCATTCCGAGAAGGAATATTCCGAGACGGAGCGTCCCGAGAAGATGCATCCCGAGACGGAGCATCCCGAGACGGAGCATTCCGAGAGGGAGCATTCCGAGAGGGAGGGTTCCGAAAAGGAAGATTCCGAGAGGGAGGGTTCCGAGAGGGAACGTTCCGAAAAGGAAGATTCCGAGAGGGAGGGTTCCGAGAGGGAACGTTCCGGAAAGGAAGATTCCGAAAAGGAAGATTCCGAGAGGGAACGTATTCAGAGGAGGCAAGACGGAGGCGTTCCAGAAATCAATTTTACTATGTCCGTAGGAGCATCGGGTTATTCTTCGTCGCAAACGAACGATGTCGGCCTGCCAGGGACAATGCAGAGGTGCTGCGTGGAAGGCAGGTTTGTCGGCCCAACTGCGGAGGAGGCAAGGGTCTATACAGACTCTGTCGTGATACCAGTTTACACGGCGCAGGACCACGTTGGCGGACCCGCATCAGGGAGTAATCTGGACCACGACTGGCCTTCTTATGCTCGGGAATCGGGCTCGCCGAGGTTGGGCGGGGCAGCGGGTCGAGGATTGGGGGGTGAAGAATTGGAGGGGCAAGGAGGAGGAGGAGGGGGGCAAGGAGGAGGGGGGCAAGGAGGAGGGGGCCAAGGAGGACGGGAACAAGGAGAAGGGGACCACGAACCAATTGGGCACCGAGGCGAGCGTGAAGGCGAGCATGAAGGCAACCATTGGAGTGATTACAAGTCCGTGTTGGCCACAGGTTCATTGCAAGAGAGTTGTTCGTTGCAGCAATTATCCCGACTGGGAACCGGGCAGTGCTGTGGCTCTCTTCAAGAGATGTACGTCCGCCGTGGCAACAGCAGTCTACAAAGCGGCAGTCTGCAGGAAGAAAGTGTCCCACCCCGCGGAAGGACTTTAAACCAGAGCGGGCTACAGAGAGGGCCTCTTGACGAGAGCACAGGGGAGAGCTGGGCGTCTCCGGAGGCGGGGGAGGCCGGGGAGACAGCTGCTCCCATGCACGATAATTTCGAGGTTTCGGAAACCCGCACAGTCGTTACTACCAAGCGGTTTACCGTCGAAGGCTACCCAATAACACGTGTCGCTTTGATCACCGGCGCACCTGACGAGTGCAATGGAAACACCGCGGAAAGCCGATCCCACTCACCGCGAGACTTAAGGTCTCGATCGCCACAAGACTTAGGGTCTCGGTCGCCTCGAGACGTGTCCCCCCGGTCGCCTCGAGACGTGTCCCCCCGGTCGCCTCGAGCGGTGTTTAGTAATGGGGACGTGTTCGTCCGTCTGGGTCCCAACGGGTGGGCCCGCGAGGAGGGACTGGCTGCAGGACGTGCTGTGGTTGCACCAGCGGAACTCGGACCCGAGTTCGGATCCGAGCAAGGACCGGAGCTCGGGCCGGTGTACCAGCTGACGAACGGCCGTCGGTACAAGCCCCCTCGGGGCGGCCGGGAGGAGACGGGTGTGCATTCGGAGGGTGGTGGGTTCGAGCCACGACAGTGGCACGTAGGCGCGCGGTCGTGGGAGATGTCAGGGTCGCCTTCGGACAGTCCAGTCGGGGTTTTACTGAGAGAGCCGGACATGCGAAGTGTTGCGGAAATCCGAAGTGTTGCGGAAATGCGTAATGCGGAAATTCGGAGTGGTGACATCCGAAGTGCGGAGGTTCGAGTCCTGGAGACGCGAGCTCGGGAGGCGCGACCGACACGGCGTGCGGTGGGTCCGGTTTACTTGGCCGACGGGCACAGTGCGTTTTGTATGCCATGGTTGGTATTGGTGCGAAAGCCGTATGCACCAGTGATGGCGACATTGTGTGCAGTGTGGTTCCTGACGGCATGGTCGTATTGGGGGTTGGTGACATATTGTAACTTGTTCTTCCTGGAGTTGGGCGTGAATGTGAACTTGGTGACGATGTTAAATTACGCGGTTCAGTTACCACTGCATGTGGTGGCGTTCCACCTAATGCGTGTGACCTGGGGTGGACGGCGTTCGGCGTTGAAAGTGTTGTCTGTGTTTGGCGCACTCGTGTGTGCGGCGCTTGCTTTCACAGTGGGTTTAGGCATGAAGACCGTGTGGGTGTTGTCAGCATTGGCGATCGTGACGATGGCGATTGGTACAGCTCTTTGGGGCCCGCTGATCAGTTACTCGTCGGAGCGTTTTCCGACTGAGTTGAGAGGGACAGCAATCGGCGTCTTTAGTGCCTTCACGGGTTTGTCCACATTGGCCACGTCCTACGTGGGTTCCGTGAGCTTCAACAGCCGTTCCATTTGGTTGTTGCCACTCTTTTGGGGGGTGGCGCGATGTGGTGTATACCTAGCGGTACAACAATTAGACTTCGATATCCGTGAGAACGAACTCAGCGACGAACGCAGCCACTGTTATTTTTAGCCCATAATATGTTCGCTGTCCCGCGAAGGCACCGCATCGACTCCGAGGTCTACGACCGGACACTGCTACCCCTAGCTCCCAACTCCCAACTCGGCCATCGTGTTTACCTATGTCGTTCGCCAGGAAAGAAAGAACCTACCGAGACGAAACACCCCCATATCCATGAGGTACTCAACCACGTCAAGAAATTAGACGGCGACTGGTGCTTCTGGGACCTACCCTTCAGATCCGAATCTCTCGTCGCCAGAGTCGGCAAGGAAGTCCGCAATCAGGTACTACCCTACCGCGTCTCCGAAATGGGAGTACTCCCTATACAAATCATCTTCTCATTTACCTCCAGCATACTCTGGTGGCTCACTCTAGATAGCAAAAACATAGCCAGTACGAACGCCCCACCCAATGATGTACCTCACCATTCGATCTCCTGCCGCCCAACTCGGTCCAAACCTCGCGTTGTGACAATCACATCACTGCCACAGCTCTTGACACACACTTCTTGACACACACTTCTTGACACACACTTCTTGACACACACTTCTTGACACACACTTCTTGACACACACAGTTGTTGACACACACTTCTTGACACACAGTTGTTGGACTTTCATATATTAGTTGCTACATTAGTTTTGTTCTACAGTCATTACTGTGATGGAGGAGAATGATTCTCATTCTTGTATGTTGTACTCGCTCTTGGGAATGCTGGACGTCGTACCTCCGGGAACAGGCTTTTCTGCTACAGGGTCTTTGGGAACAGGACCGTTGGAGGTTTCGCCGACCGTATTGCCGAATTTCGAGGACTGGTGCAACTCTCTGACGGAGCGGATGACCAAGACCTTCTTGTCGTACGAGAGACGACCGCAGGCGGCAGCCTCTCACTCCTGGTCGCCACCTCTTGAAGGCTCACGATGCATCTTGGACCCGTCGATTGCGCCACCGAGTGTCTGGGGTCCTGGACGTTTGAGGTACTTGAGCTACATTCATTCCTTGCTGTCGCAGCCTGGAATGACGGTGGTTCCACAGCCTACCATGCGCCTCAAGTGCATCATGGTCGAGAACTTTGTGGGGTCCGCTGCGGGACTTGTGGTCGAAATGTTCCACATCAACTCCTCTCGGCTGGTGGACGGCAAAATGGTGACGGGATCGAGGTCTGGAAAGAGCAAGAAATGGAAGAACGTAACGACAGACCGTGGGGTCCCTGACCGTGGCGGCGTGGGTACGGATCGGAGTGGCGCCGAGCGCGGGGGCAACGACGGGAGTCCGCGGCAAAGCGAGGACCGGCGCACACTCGGCGGGGGTCCTGGTCCGTTGGACCACCAAAGTAGTTCGCAGGCCGAATGGGAAAGCGTGTGGTGGCAATGCATAGGACAGTTCCGGAAGCACCGCAAGAGCCATCACCTGAAAACCGTGTTTGGTTGGAACGGGTGTCCTCAGAAACAGGATGGCGAGAAGGTAAGTGCACCGTCGGACTTATCCATCTCCATCCTGCCCACGGCAACTTCTACGAACGCGCAGCTGGTAGAGTCTCGAGATACGAGTTTGGGTTGCAGCCGGACTTGGAACTTCTCAGCGGAAGAGTTAGCGTTGTGTGGCGACGTGATTATTGTGTTACGGCAGACCCTGCCTGTGGCTGAGACGCCGTTGACGACTTGGGCGAATGGTCATTCAGCACAATATACCGCCAAGCACGACGAAGAGAAGCTTTTTTACCCCTGCGCCCTTTTCCACTTCAATACGGCGTTTGTGGACCACGAGTCCATTCATCTGCAGAAGGAGCACTTCGAATACTACCACCTAGGTGCCCGCAACAACAAGGTACTCACCCTCCTGGGTGTCGAAAACCCCAACTTCCGCTGCAGTCTGATCTTACACGAAATCGTGCCCGCCCCGACGCAGCGTCCAGACGTGCCCTTCTCCGACTTTGTGGACCATGGCGGAGGCGCTGCCTTAGACGGTGGAGGGGCCTCTCTAGACGGCAGCAGTGGCCTGGGTAGTGGCCCGGGTCGTGGTGGCAGTCTGGTCGAATTGCCTTCAGCATCGCGTCGGCAGAGCTTCAACGCGAATGATAGGTTCGTGCCGGCGACCGTACCGCGGCTGGACTTCTCTGACCTCCGACAGGACTTGCGACACGACCCACGGCACGATCTCCGGCAGGACGCGGATGACTTGCAGTCGGATTTCCACTCGGATTTGCAGTCGGAGATGCAGTCGGAAAAGTTGGTGGGAGAGGAGGCCTTGACTCCAGTGGACAAAGAGCGTATAAGTCAGAGACATAGTGAGGCATTGGAGGAGTCACAGTTGCGGGGCACTCGGTCTGCTTTGACGAGTCGGAAGAATCGTGGTTTCGGGCGCGCTTTGCAGAAGATGGTTCCTTCCACAAGTCGCGGGAAACGTTTCCTGGGGATCCCGGTAACTGCTCGGCGAGGTAGTCGTTCGGTCGTGGAATCGGTAGAGGTTGCAGAAGCAAGCGCCAGTGTCGGATTAGTGAGTCTAACGTTTTGGTTGGAGGTATGTTTGCTCAAGACGCAAACACGTTTCCTTCCAACACGTCCCTGGGCGGACTTGGAGGAATTTAATGCGCGCCACTGCGTCGTCCCCGACCATCGTAACATTGAGGAATGGTGGTGTCCCGAATCGGGTTGTGATTTACGCCGGGCTGTGTTCTGCACCAAAGTATGCGATAACACAATCGCTGCCCAAGATGTGGCTGACAAGTATTTTGCCGTAGACTCTAGCTCCCGAGTCAATAGCAGCAGTAACCCACGAAAGAAACCACACACGTTTCTAACCAAGCTCAAATTCCATGTCATCGAGTTCCTACAAGACACCACCTCCTCCACTATTCCTACCCAACTCTCCCACAGACGTTCGGAGAGCTGTGACAACAAACATGACTATGATGAAGACGACTCCCAACGACTCTCGCCACACCACCACAGCCCCCCCGGCCGCCTACAATCCTGTCGAGACAAACATACGACCACCCTGCATCAGTTCCCCACCAGCCCGGACCTCACCCATCTCGTCGGCCTCACCTCCGATCCTCTGGGCATCGATCCTCTGGGCATCGATCCTCTGGGCATCGACCCACTGGGCACCGACAACCTGGGCTCCGACTCTCTGGGCCCCCACTCGCTGGGACCCGACCCACTCAGCAGACCCTTTGGGGCCTCGGGACTCGGGTCCTCGGGCCGCGCGACGGTGACCGAACCCGCGGCGTTACTCCGACACGACCCTGCCGAGCGCGGAGCACACCTCACTGCCCCACTCGCCCAACAGTTGTACCAAGCACCCGCAATGCACCGCGATGCCGCACCCTTCACGGCCTCCAGCGGCGACCTGGAACTGGCCCCGTTCGCCCGAGACACCATCGGAGGGTTGGTTGGAGGCGCCACTGGAGACCCAATGATGGGAAGCGTCCCAGACCCGGCGGCCCGGCGGCAGTCAGTCGCAGTCGACCATCAAGACCACAAACGAGCAAACCGCTTCAAAACCACCGAAGTCCGCGCCATCTTCGTAACGCGCGATCTCGGCGGCTCCACTCGTCAACTCAAACCCTGCCGATCCGTCGAGGCACTCTCTCCAACCCCCCACGACCGACACGGAACCGTGGGCGACCGAATCGTGGGTGACCCGGCCGCCGAGACGAAGAGACGCGTGGCGGCCCTGGACCAGGAGATGTCGACCGAGGCCTGCAGCGACTTAGGCGGCAGTTCTGAGACAGCGCGACGGAGTCCGGCGCCCATGCCTTCGCTTCCGGTGGACCTCAAGGCCGCGCTGGCCGGTGGCCTGCGCAATTTGAAGAAGCCCTCCCCCGCGCCGCCGACCGTGGTCAAGACCAAGTCGGAAGGTACTGGTGGTGGTACTCTGGATGAAGGTAGTGGTGGTGGGAAAAGCGAAGGTGGTGGGAAGACGCCTCGTGGTGGGGCCAAGACGGTTCGTGGTGGTAAGGTGGATGGGGGTGGTGCAGGTGATAAGACGGCGACTCGGAACTCAATTGACGTAGCGGGACCGCGAGAGGCGGGGCTACGAGAGGCGGGGTCGCGAGCGGCGGGGCTTCGAGAGGCGGGGCTTCGAGAGGCGGGGCTTCGAGAGGCGGGGCTTCGAGAGGCGGGGCTTCGAGAGGCGGGGCCACGTGATTCTGTGAGTAGTTCAGCGACGGCGATTTCGGTGGAGTCTGCGGTAGTAGAATCGCAGCAGCGATTATTACCGGCGGGTGTCAAGGAGGGGTTGATTAGTCGGAGCAGTGCTCCGCCGACGCCGAATGCAGATGTGAAGCCGAAGCCAGCGAAGAAGAAGGCGCCACCGCCGAAGATGGGTGGATTGGCGGCGTTATTAGCAAAGCGTCAGGAGACGAGTGGGAAGGCGGTTCCGGCAGCGTTGCCGGCGAAGAAGGCCCCATTGGGTCGGAAGTTGTTTTGGAAGCCATTGGAGAACGCCGATCTAAGTGAGACGGTTTTCGGCGACTTGTCTAGCACAAATGCTATCTGCGGGAGCAATATTTTTGAGCCGAGTCGGTTGGACATGATTAGCAAAGTGTTTGCCAAGGACTCGGCCAAGAAGGCGGCCATGAAGAAGACGGCCAGCGACCAGGACGCATCGGAAGACAAGAAGCTGGTGCGGATTATCGATGACCGGCGCGCTCAAAATGTTGGAATTGTCGTACTACGAATGAAGATCTCACCCATAGAACTCGCCCAACAACTCATGGGCATGCAACTTTCCGTCGATCTGACCCTTGAAATGCTACAAAAGGTCGAATGGCTCTTCTTCAACGACGATGAAGAAACTGAACTGGAGCAATACCTAGCCAAAAATCCCAACGCAGAATTACTGCGAGATGTACCAGAAAAACGACTACTACCCCTCCGAAAATCGCTACTACCTCGAGGCCACCAGCGTACAGTCATCCTGCAACAAAAGCTACGGTGGCCCGGCTGGGTACGTGACTTAACTGAGAATTTGGATTTGATTAAACGCGCGAGCGATGAAATGCGCTCTTGTGTGTGCTTTCGAGCTATGCTAAGTGCTGTGCTAAGATGGGGGAATTTCGTCAACTATGGCAGTAGCGAATTGCATATTAAGGCCATCACGTTGAGTAGTTTGCTCAAACTGACTGAATTTAAGACCACAGTGGACGCGAAAATTACGTCCCTGCACTACCTTGTGGCTACACTTTTGGCCTCAACAGACAAGGTCGAAGACGCAATCTCCCTCGCCCGAATGACGCAGGAAATGAAGACGGTCCGACAGGCTTCGAAAGTAACCAGCGAAGTCATCGAAATGATCTGGAAACAACTCAACAACGCAAATGACATGGTCAAAAAAGAACTCGAAACGCAGGCGCAACATTACGAGACCAAAAATGGGGTAGACCGAGGATTCAACACGCTGCAAGAAATCAGCATGCGCATGGTCGCTGACCTCGCACGCCTCGAAATCTACGCCAGCGAAACAATGCGCCTCGTCCAGGGCACCGCCAAATTTTTCGGAGATGACGATGCCGTCGACCAGAACGCTGGCGGCGCCTCCAAGTTTCACGTCGGATCCGTCTTTGCTACACTGGACATGTTCCTTCGGAGGTTTGATGAATGCGTCACTGACATCGTCAGACGGACAGCCCTCTATGCTAGCATCCTAAGCGATGACCAGACGCCCCAATTAATCAGTTTTGTAACCACATTCACTGGCCGACCGCTGCCCCGGAATACTGTTATGGCCCTGGAAGCTAGGAAAGAATTGAATAGAGTCAATCAGGAAAGAACAAAAAGTAGTCAAACTGAGTTGACTTGACCGTTTTTGTGTAGCACACACGTGTGCGATGCTGCGCTTTCTGCTGCTATCCGCCTTGGGAGCCACAGGTCTGAAGGGACAAGTCGATAATATCGCTTCAAATCTGCTGGGAATGCCGGCGAACGTCGCTCTGACTTTGCAACCAGACCAACGTAAGACCAACGCTGATTGCGAGAACCAACTGGCTGACAACTGGTGGCTGTCAACTGGTTGGTTGTCAGTGTCAACCTGGTTGTCAAAATCCGATTTCTAGCTAGCATGATCTCCGCGAATGAGATTTCCCGTTTAATGGAAGACCAACATCATATGATTCGTAAACTAGTCGAACAAGCCGAACAGCACTACGCTTCGATGGTGCGAGAGGTCCAAAGTTCCCGAAGCGGTAAGAATGCTTTCTTATTTAATGCTACATTGTTCTCATTGTCAGTCTGGTCTTCCCATGGAGCACCCATATATGTTCCCACAAAACTAACTAGCTAGCTTACAGCGAGGCTCAAGGTGATTCTAACTATGCCCGCGGGCTTGCCTCGCTTCTCGATAGGGACATCGTACTGGATGAAGTTCTGGATCTGCAAGATGTCCAGTTGAATCCTGCCAGTTCCCATCAAGTCATCCTTGCGCATGCGATCCCTGTCGTAGATCTCCATCTCGATTGTTGGCTCGCCATTGTAGGGTAGGGCGAAGGTCTGATCCCACAACGGGTTCTTTCCATTGTTGTTCACAGCGGAAGTGTGGAACTTCTGGTCACCCATGGTACCAATCAAGTAGGGATCCTACATACAGCATGAGTGAAATAAAGCATCAGTGACATGAAACATCAGTGACATGAAACATCAGTGTCCTTCACCCCTTCCTGTCATTATCGGGCTTGAAACGATCTTGAACACATTGTGCTAGGTACCCTGAGTACCGACGCCTTGAGTGCTTACCCTTCGACCTAGGAATCCTCCAGCCAACCCTTTGCCTTCGTGGACTGTGATGGAGAGGAGGGCAGGCATGTTGTTGTGTAAATTTTGATAAATGTCCCTGCAATATCCCAAGAATGTCCCGTCTCTCGGGAAAGGGATGGAAAAGGGATGGATGAGAACTCAGTCGCTTACTCCCCACTAGAACGTGTAAGACCGGATTTTTTGTCATATGAAACAACCTCTCAGTTTTCAACTGCGTCATACTTACTGCCCAAGTTCACTCCCGAAAGCGATGGGTCCGTTTTGGATCGATCAGCCGCCGGAGCTATTACACCTAGAACTCTCACGCATGGGACGAAAGCATCTGATTTCTCAGACGTTTCGGAATACCTGCGGTCTGCGTATCACAAACATCAAACTAGCCGAACTGACCTTATAGCAGCCTTAGTCGACTTGAACGACCCAATACTTACTGCACTAGCTAACCGTTGTCTCCACACAAACCTGCCTACCCACAATCGACACCGAGGAGACTACCACACCAGCAACCCTCGTGATGACAATCATAATCATGGTGACAATAATCATGGTGGCAATAATCATGGTGACAGCCGTTGTCGGGATGGTGATGACCTTCGCAACTATTCTTCCGTCGACCCCGCAGCAATGGACAAAGACACTCCCAGGCATCGCAGAAGAGCAGTAACTCCTCTAATTCACTTGAGCTCGGAGGAATCTCTACAACAACGGGCTCTCGAGAGACGTATCGAGAATCAGCAACGTGTGCTCGAGAATGAACAGCGAGTGATGCCCAAGAAAGCCCTGGTTTCGGAATCGAACTCACTCGAAAAACGACCGCTTGGAGATCGGGATAAACGGGTCTCTGATAAACGGGTCTTGGGTCTTGAACGAGGGCTGGGGGAACGGGTTCATGGCGACCACAAGATGGGAAGGAAGGCAGGCGATCTGGGAAAAAGAGCTTCTCGCGAAGTAAATGATTATCCGGCTGAAAATGAGTATCCGGACGACGATGACGACGAGGCGACACCCGTTGCGCACCGTCCGACACGTCGAGAACTCTCGGGCCGACCGTATGATGCGGAACCCGTCCTTCCATGCCGGTCTGCGCCTTGCAGATCCACTGCAGAAAAAGACCACCGCTCTGACGGGGCGGAAAACGCCAATTCACTGCCCACACGAGTGGTCACCGACTCGGCAATCTCGCCCAGACGCGTCGGCACCGCTCCCCCGCAGCCCATCTCGCCTTGTATTCGAGGCCGGTTCAGACCGCGTTCGGAGACACCCCCCGCGCATACACGGTCCCCTATCCATGCCGGCAGAATGCTCGACTTGGAAGGGCCCTCCGTCGTCAATCAGGTCGCAGAGCGCATGGGCCTCGGATCCTTCAGTAGCCCGCCGCCACCCCCTCGGCGCACGGCTGCCAATCATGGACTGCAGTCCAACCACGGAGTTCAGGCTTCAACGACCAGCAAGGGCATCGGACTGCACCGTTTCTCCTCGGAAACCAGCGAGTACCAACAGCCATACCTGGTCAATGTTGAGTGCAGATCCCCCCCCGCTCCTAACCAGCTTTTGCGGACGACCGAACTGGTTGGCCGGCAAAACTCGGTCGCGACCCCGCCAGACAGGACGCCCTACTCTCCCAGCCTCTCCACGTCTCCACCCGCACCGCCCACTGGCACGCTCCACGGACCGTCAGGCCACCGGTCCCGAAACAGGCGTCCGGGTCGCATTCCCGAAAGTCCCAATTCAGTTCCTCGTCGCACGGATCCAGGGTCCCTCAGGCAGCCATCGGGGCTGCAGCAGTGGACCATAACTCCCAGAGGCCACGACCCGGACGAGTCGAGTGCCTGGGACGGAGAGTCAGAGGGGGGGCACAGGTCAGAAGTCAGTTACAAGCCGGAGGCGAAGGTGTGGGCTTTATCGCCCAGCGTCCTGAGCCGCGACCCGCTCGATTTGCGGCGTCCTACTACCCGGGTCGCCGACTTCCGTCCTCAGCCTGCACAGGCAGTACATCCTCGTTACGTCCAGACCGCTCCACAGACAGGTGGGGCTCAGGGCCAGGCCGGGGCTCAAATATCGGGAATGGCACTGCCGGACAAGATGACAGTTACGGCTGCAGATCTCGGCGAACTGCAACACTTGCGAGAGCAATTACACCACGCTCCGGACGGCCCGGCGAGCCGCCATCAGCCGGCGGGTCACCCTCCAGGCCATCATCTGAGCACGCACCCGCTGAACGCACATCAGCAACAGAGAGCTCATCCACTTGATTCGACGGAGCGTGAACGGGTCGGGGCGGAGGTGGATCGCGAGAGCGCAGGTTGTGAGAGTACCCGGCGGGGCAGCAGACAAGTGCTACGCGCCTCTGGGGGCCTGTCCTCCTCCGGGACCGGTGTGCCGGCCTCGGTGTCGGTGACGAGCCGAGATACCATTGTCCAGCATCGGGGCCGGGTCCCGGACAGACGGCTAGGAGACTCTGGGGTCGGGACGGAGTCCCGTACTAGCGGCGACCAAGGAAGTCTGCAGCCGACTCCAAGTCAGTCGTCCACGGGACGGCGACCGGGGGAGGGTCGGAAGGTCTCTCTGGCCGCCAAGATCAGGGAGCCACAGACGTTGAGCAACGATCTTCTCGGCATCACCTCCGTCCACGACGGCCCTCGGCGACCAGACCCGGTCGATGCCTATTATCGACCTGCTCCTCTGCCCCCTCAACGGGCTGCCACCCCCACAGACTCCCATCGACCTGCCCACCGCCTACCCGGCTCAGCTTCCGGCCCGGTCTCCGGCCTTGGCCCTGGAGCAGGAGGAGGTCCCGGTCTAGAAGGAGGCTCCGGTTTGAGAGGAGGTTCCGGTCTAGGAGCTTCGACGCCGGGGGGCTCTATTGTCGGGGCCGTCTCATTGGCCAGTCGCCCGTCCGCGCCGGCCAGCCACGCGTCGAACCGCCCTCCCTCGGAGGACTCGAACCGCCGGCCTTCGGATCGCCAGTCGAAACCCGACCGGAGCCGCCGCCGGGTAGTCAAGTCGATCGCCGCGTCGTACATCTGCGACCCAACCCCGCCAGGCGACCCAGCCCCCCAAGAGGGCCTGGCTCTACCAGGAGACCGGGCTCTGCGAGAAAGCCAGCGAGGGGTCGGCTGGCGGAGTTCTCGGGCCAGCGGGAACTTGGAGTCTCCCCCACAGCGAGCGAGCGAACCCCCCCTGACTCCGCGAAGCCGCCGCGATGACCAGCGCGGGTCCAGAGACGACAAACCCGGCGGCCCAGGGTCCCGAGGGAGCGAACCGGGTCCGGTCCCGGTGCCGGGCCAGAGCGTGGAACTTGGTCGTGACGTGTCGATGGACGGCACGGGGATTCCGGCGCAGGCGTCGAACAAGTCGAGCGCAAGTCTGCGAGACTCACATGCGCGGCCGGACCCGGACTCGAACCGGCGCCTGTCGGGTACGAAGACGCCACCACGACGCACGCCGGCGGCGACGCCGCGGACCCCGCGAACTCCGCGGACGCCACGCACACCCGTCTGTGCTGAGGTCCTGCTGGCCCAAAGTCATCTGGGCCAGAGGGAGTCGGGCCGGAGCCAGTTGGTTCAAAGCCCGGGTTGTGTGGTCCAGAGCCCGGGTCGTATGGTTCAGAGCCCGGTTCGTGTGGTTCATAGCCCGGGCCCTGTGGTCCAGAGCCCCCTGGTTCAGAGCCCTGATCCGAGCCGGGGTCTTGTGGTCCCCAGTCAGGGTCTGGTGGAGACGGATGTGCGGGGTCGTGGCGAGGAGACGAGTCGCGCGCGTGGAAAGGGGAAGGTGAGTCGGGTGATGCCTGGTCGAGCGCCGCAAACTCATTCGGGGGCGGGAGAGGAATCAGCGCCGGAGTTGGACACTCCTGGGAGGGTTGCGGCGCACATGCAGCGGGTGAAGGCGCGTGCAGCCAAACGCACGGGTCGCCGCGACAACGTCTCGCCGACCAAGAGCGTGCCCGACAAAAGCGAGGTGCTCAGTCGACAGCTGACCACCGCGGATAGTCTACAACACGCCGCCGGCGTCGTGAGCATGATCCAACGGTTCGAATCCCACGGCACCCGCTGGCCACCCAACACTGGGATTATAACAAAATTGCAGGAGTCCATGACCACATCCACTGTGGATCTACGGAAGTCCTTCAAAGAAAAACTCGATGTAAGCAACCCGCACGGGGAAGATTGGGGACTGGGATTGGGTTTGGGGGTGGGGGTGGGCGGTACGGTACGGTACGGTAGTGGGACTGAATGTGCGGCAGAGTCTGGGCGTGCAGCTGGCTGGAGGTGGACGAGTGGGTTTGCGGAGACCCTGTGGGCTTGCGGAGACCCTGGGATGCTGTGGTAAGGTCCAGTGGTGAGATTGGCGGGTAGATCTACCCGCAGTGAGATCTGCCTCGGGGAGAACTACCATGTGGCTTAGCGGGGAAGTCTGGTGGCGAGGGCTGATGGTGAGGGTCGTTTGATAGAGCGTCGTTTTGCAGGCCTTCAAGGCGATGGAGCGGCAATTGTCGAACGAAGTGATGCGCGACCGGACGAGTTTCACGGCGCGTCCTTCGTTCCGTAAGCAGGCGACGTTACCGGACGCAGACGTGTTGAGGCGGCGCAAGTTGGTGAAGTTCATCGACGACGAGTTGATTGGAGCGATTTCCGTCATGCCACACGTTTTA